CCTGGGGTTTGGCCGTTAACGGCCGTTAACGGTAGCCGGGTGGGGCGGGACGAGTAGCAGGAGGCGGGGGGAAGGGGGATGTTGCCTGAAGCTCCGGTCCCACCTGTGGTGTTTTCACCTCGCTGCGCGGGCGCGGGAAGACTAAAAGGTGTTCTTTGTTGTTGTTATTTATGCTTTTACTTAGTTGTTTAAGTTGCGGCCACATCCGCACGTTGGGAAAAAACCTTTTGAAACTCCCAACTGTCGGTTTGGGATGTGCAATCGCAAACCTGCCTGCACCAGCGCTGAACGTGAGGGGAGCGAGCCGGAGCGCATCGTTTTTTAAACACCAATAGGAAAATCATCTCCTTTCAGTGGGATTAGGCATGTGGATGAGGCAAACAGCCTTAGCTTTAATTGGTGCTATGAGAAAAACTGGAAAATGAGGCAGAATGTCCTTACTTTCCCCCTTGTTTTACTTCATCTTAAGTCTGGTGCACTCAGAACCGTCATACTGCGACTGGAAAATTAATTACGTAAAAACATTCGCTTATCCTAATCAAGTTATAAGACTGGAAGCGAATTATACAAAACAGATGTTTACATTCTTTCTCCCCTTCAGCGCTGATGTCATGAGAAGAAAGCACATAACCGGAGCTGTGCGGAGTGCTCACCATAAACTCCAAGCTGTGGAAAACTTCCCTCATCTGTAATTTTGCAAGCAGAAAACTCAGACCAGGTTTGTCAAAATACTCATGTATCATGTGAGTAGAGAGGTGCTCAAGCCATAAAACAGGAGGGTGCCTTACAAACACAGAGCATTTGGATTTAGGGGTTCTCTCAGTCCTTTCTGAACATGGTTTCCTGTTGCATTTTTCCTCACAAAGAAAGTCATCATGATATTTCTGTCTTTAATTATTTTTCTTTAGATATAAACAAGCAAAAATCAACAAACAAGGTAGTGTCTTATAAAAATAGCCTCCTCAAACACATACTGTTGTGTGTCTAGAAAGTTATTGTTTCATGAAGATTTTAAGGCATGACATAAATAAAAGTAAATTTACAGTGCAAACTGGTGTTTATTTTGGTTGCCTAACACTTTCCACTATAAAACAGAAAGTTTTGATGCCTTATCGCTATTATTCACATCAGGCCTTTGAAAACTGCAGCAAGAAAGGCCTGTTCCAAGAGAAAAATCTTTTTTATTTTATTTTTTCTCCAGTTAAATTATTTTTTCAGTTTTGTCAAGGAGTCATCTACTGGGGAAACCTTCATGATTTTCCCTACCATCTCTTTTGTATGAAGTGAGTTTAGTCACTTGTTTCTGGGCTGGAGCTTTGGTAATACAGCTAACCTTGATAATCTTTTCATGCCTGTTTTAGGGCTAGAATTTATTCTGTTAATGCAGATTGGTAGCACAGAAGAATTCAGTGGATGTGGACTTGATGGTCAAATTCCTTCTTACCACAGTCTCATACTGAGTATGAATAAAGTAACCAGCAAGCAGTTACTGGATTGCTAACTGGCTATATGTTTGTCTTGAATGGCTGTAAGTTATTAGACCTGGTGGAGCAGAGGATTAAGCCATTTAACTTCTCTCTCCCTAGCTTGCCTCAAATCTGTAAAGCACATATTTTGTACACTGTACTTATCATCCCTAAGGCCTATGTCTGAGTCTGCTCCATTTTGTAGTTTGCAGCTGAGAATCATCACTATCCAAGCAGCTGATGAAGAAAGACTGGCTGGTTTTGGTAAAGTCCACAGCATTCCATTCATAAACAAGAAGCTACTTAAAAATCTGAAGCTCCTTCTGAAGGAAAATATTAAAATGATTGTTTTTAAAGCTGATGCTGCTCTCTAATTACACTACGAACTACTGATATCAAAACAGCTTCTTGTGCACAGATCCCATGGACCACGCTCAGCAGGCCACATCTGCTACAATTCTTTTCCCACGAAATCTCTATTCTGCTCAATAAACTCTGCACGTAAACCAAATACTTTGAACTATTTTGTCACAGACATTTGACAAAATTTCCTCTGAAACTACATACAGTTTAAAAGCTCAGCTCCATTGTTCCCACTCCTCCTCAAAGCCTTTTTTTTTTCTTTTTCCTTTGTTTGGCCTGGATTAATTGTTTTGGAAAAGGAGGGAATTCTTGCTGCTTGCTTTAGGCATCTGGCTATGGTTCTGTCTGTGAGAAGTATATGCAAAGTATATTAAGTAATCTCCAGTTCACAAAGAGTCCAGATTTTGTTTCCTTATCCAATCTTTTGTCTTGTCTTTGTATTTTATGTATAAATATGCTAGTCATACACATGAGATACATAATTCATTACTCTAAAATTCAATATAACATAATGTTTGTGGTCTCAAATTCTGTGTTTTGAAGTAGTTTGTAGGAAGGAGCTGTGCTGCACTTGGGAGGCATAGGGTTAAAATTCCCATTCTACAAAAGGAATGCTACAACAGAAATTAGCAGGTATGCTGAGGAGCCTGAAAGCAGGTAAGGCAGGTAGCTCAAACTCCTGCTAGCCGATCTGCAATGAAAGATAAACAAGGAGAAGAAAACATAAAGGACTACTTAATTAATCTTTGGTTATGTATGGAAAAAACTTGACGTTCATTTATAAAGACAATGAAAATAGTAGGAAACAAGAAACTGCTTCTTGTGGGAAGATGGGCTGCGTCCCCCAGCAATCTGAGAGACCCCACAGGGATATGCCCGGTGGACTCTCCCTTTATTCGAATAAAGTTTTAGGACTCCTCTGTCTCCTTTTGGACATTCAGTTCTTGACAGCGAGATTTTCCGCACAATGGTGTTGTCTAAATGTCATTGTGATGTGAGGGTTCAAATCCCAACGTGATAAACACTGACCTTTCCCAGCTGGTGACATTTTTTTTCCTTTTAGCCATGCAGCTGGCCTCACATGAAGGCTATGTGTTCTTTGCACTCATCTTGCCTCTCTGTTGGTCAGGGTATTGCTAGAGACAGTTATAGAGACAGTATATCCAGCAGGTTTGATGACTCCTAAAACAACAGGTAAAATCACACTAGTTGAAACACAGTAAGTTCACATCCTCCTATAAGACACATTACCTTTGCCAACAATACAAACACCTAGCACTTAATATAAAAATGGCATGTGTTTAATGCTTGTTTGCCTTATGGCTTCTCAATCTTCAGAAGGGTCATATGTTGTAACCTTTCTCCAAAATCCATTTGACTAGAAATGATCTGTCACTGTTAAGAAAATAAACCCCAAGGTGCCAGCATGATCACCCCTCTGCAGGATATGATGGGCCGTCAATTAACCTGATTTGAAGAATTTGTGGGTTTTTGATCCTCTTTTGAAAACCTAGCTCTGTTTACATCCGAAATCGAGCTATGGGCTGTATTCCACACTCCTGCGCTTCAGATATTGGCAAAGAAGAAATGGCTCAAAAAGAAATCTGCACCCCGAATTGTTTAGAACCATTCATACCTATAATGTCTAACTGAATTCTCATCTTGCAGTATCTTATGGTTGCCCCTTTTTTCATAACCTCAGCCTGCATCATGAGCCCACTAATACTTGATGTTTAACCGTGGCTTTCGTGATTAATACTTCGCAGCACTATTAGAGCATACACGTGAATGCTACCCACTCTGTGCATTCTGCAAACATTTCTAGGCGGTAGAAACCTGATGTAAAGGCTACAAAAGTTAGACATTCTAAAGATGCCATGTGCTTTACATTTCAAGAACCTAGAAGGCACACAGAGCTAATCTTCTGCAATTTTCCCTCTTCTTTCTCTATTCCACAGAAGTCTGCCTAAATACAACTGTCAGTTTGATTCACAATTCAACACATCTCAAAAGTTCACATAATGGAGAAAGAGCTGGACACAAGCACTAAGTAGCTGTGGCAACTGGAGTAGTTTGTTTGATAAACCATGTGTGTGAGCCAAGAGACTCTTTCACCCTGCTATAACATTGAATCATCATCTCTCATGCGCAAGATGAAATCACTTTGCTTTGGGTTATAAAACATTTGTTTTATAAAACAGTTCATCCTGTGATCAAGGCATAGAGGTAAAAGTCAGGGTCTAAGAGTTTTATTTCTGGCTCAGAAGCAGGTCTGCTGCTTTTATTAATAAAATACTGTATCAAGACAAGAGTAAAACTAGAATCCACTCTGCTGCTTCCCTGTGTCTTGAAAATGATAATGGAGAAGAGCATAATCAAAACTTAGGGTCTGTACTTAGTGGAAAAGACAGTTATGATTTCTTTAGCAACCCTTCCCCTCCATGCTATTGCCTAAGCACTTCTGAACACATAGTGCACATGCATCACCATTTGACGTGTCCCTACAAAATCTCTGATCCTGGGCTCCCTAGCTCCCATCTTATAAATCAGGAATGAAAGCAGAGAATGGCTAAATAAGTTGTCCAATTTAACAGAAAATCTGTAGCAGAAATAGCAAGTGAACCCAGTTCTAAATTTCACTGCACTACTTAATCATCATTCTCTGTACTGCAAGTTTTCCTAGCACTGTTTCTGCCATGAATGTTTGCAATTTTCTGAGACAAATGCCAGCAAAATTCAAAACACCTCTTATTTGCTGTCAAAATAGCCTTGAAGGTGAAAATAGTCTCTATTTCAGTAAAACTTTATGATTGCTAGTCCCTTTCAAAAGGCTTTAGAGCTTAGTTTCTATCACCAAATAATACAGTTTTGAATCATTATTTGCAACATGTTTCACTGACATTCTCTTGACTAAAAAGAGATTGCGTGCACAATAAATTGTTTTTTTAATTTCAATCAAAATTCTACCACAAAATTTCTGTCAAATTTCTGCTGTAGATATTTGGAAATATCTACAGCATGTCTGAACAGCTACTGCAGACAGTACTAGCTTTTAAACTACATTACAGCACAATTTGAAAATATTAAATATCTAATAAGACAGGGAATGTATTTCCTTCTGAAACAATGTCAATAATGTCATACAC